AAGCCGAAAGGCCGAGAAACCGGGAAAAGAGAAACCGGGAAAAGAGAAGCCGGGAAAAGAGAACCCGAGAAAAAAGAAACCGGGAAAAGAGAAGCCGGGAAATCGAGAAAAGAGAAGCTGGGAAAAGAGAAGCCGAGAAATCGAGAAAAGGGAAGCTGGGAAAAGAGAAACCGAGAAAAGAGACGAAACCAAGAAAAGGCACGAAACGAACCGAGAAAAGAGACGAAGCCGAGAAAAGGGAAACCGAGACCAAAGAGAAACCGAGAAAAGGCGAGCCGAGAAAAGAGAAGCCGGAAAAAGGGAAACCGGGAAAGAGAAACCGAGAAAAGAGAAACCGAGAAAAGCGAAGCCGAGAAAAGAGAAACCGAGAAAAGCGAAGCCGAGAAAAGAGAAACCGAGAAAAAGAAACGGAGAAAAGAGAAACCGAAAAAAGACACGCTGGAAAAAGAGAAAGGGAAACCGGGAAAAGAGAAACCGAGAAAAGAGAAACCGAGAAAAGAGAAACCGGGAAAGAGAGACGGAGAATGGAAAGAGAAACCGGGAAAAGAGAAGCCGACCGAGAAAAGAGAACCCGGAAGAAGACAAACCGAGAAAAGAGAAACCGGGAAAAGAGAGGCCGAGAAAAGAGAAACCGAGAAAAGGGAGACCGAGAAAAGAGAAACCGAGAAAAGAGAAACAGGGAAAGAGAGAAAAGAGAAACCGAGAAAAGAGAAGCCAAGAAAAGAGAAACCGGGAAAAGAGAAACCGGGAAAAGAGAAGCCGGGAAAAGAGAAGCCGAGAAAAGAAAAGCCGGCCGGAAAAAGACAAACCGGAAAAAGAGCAACCGAGACTCCCGGATCTCGGTTTCCGATTCTCGGTTCTCGGTTTCCGATTCTCCGTTTCCGATTCTCGGTTTCCGATTCTCGGTTTTTTTACACCTGGCCATGGCTTAACTTGATATTTATAGTATGTTAGTGTTTTTGTCGCCACGGCATAATAGTTAATTGCAGCGAGTGCGAGTGAGCTTCATCTGATTTTTTTATTTCGTTTTTTTTTTCACTTATAACTCAGATTGTAGCAGAGACTGTCCTGGCAGACGGAAGGTTGCACGCAGGACGACAGCTTGGATTAACAAGTAGCAGCGATTCCTCCCGTAAGCCATCATCTTCTTCTGTGCGGGCCGAGCCCACACAAATGGTGAGTCGCAGCTCGTCGCGGTCGCCCAAAAAAAAAGAGGGCATGTCCCCTCCACATGCTCAGATGATGGTGATGGAAGAGTGGCGCAACAAGCAAGAACAGCGTCCGGGTCCAGCAAACAAAATGCGTCCTGCAGGGGAGGAGGTTTTTAACGCAGATAAAAGCAGAGAAGATGACGAGGACGAGCAGCTGGTGCGGCCGGAGGCAGCTGTAGACCTGACCACAGGAGTAGGAGCGACGGAACGCAGGACCCCCAGCACCCAGCTTGAGGGTATGCGAAGTACGTCCTCCATCAAAATACAACTGCGCGGCGGTTCATCAGCTGACTACGACGAAGCATACCACTTCGTCAGGAGGGCAAGGAAGCCCAACCTGAATGGGGGACCATCCGCAAACGTCGAGCTAGCAGTAGATACTGTTGTTGGGCAAGAAAACTCGTATGGGAATATGGACAGCACTACGCTAGCCGGCGTATACGAGGGGCTGGTAAGAACTACCTACTTATAACAAAGTGAAGAATTATGGATATCATATGTAGTGAGGTCACCGAACGGTTCTAACCAGGGAGTTTTTTTGACACCCAGCCAGCAAAACGACCGGCAGTCTCTAAGCGGGCGGAAGCGTTTTTGGACATAAAAAATTTGCAATTATCAAGCGGCCGGGGCTTTGCCGTCAAACAAGCCCGGTCGAAAACTATCGACTCGCACTTGATAAAACGACGCAGGGGAGCCGGCAAAAGGGGCGCCCTTCTGAGGCGCCCACCCCCTTGGTTTCTGGCGATTTGGGGCGCCCAAAAAGGGGCGCGCAAAAAACGCGCCTAGAATCAGAACAGCGAAACAGCATGGCGCGGCCGCGATTTCGGAGCATTTTGGGCGGCCGCGAAAGCGGCCGCCTTTTCGCCGGTTTCAGAGCCTGGGGAGCTTTGCAAAAAGCGCCGGCGCGAAAAATAAAAACGCGAAAAAGAAAAAGCGGCCCGCCCGCGCAAAGCCAATCCGCATGCTATGGGCCCGATTTTTCTTCGCTTTTTGGGCGCCCCCCGTGGCACCCGGATCGGCCCCATAGCATGGGGGCTTGCCTTCGGAAAGGGGTTTTGCAAATGTGCTGAAATTTGTGACGTTTCTCAAGTGACCGCCATACCGTGCGGCATAACGTTACTCAGGGCGGTATGGCGGGCCCAGAAAAAGCAAAGCCGCGGCCAAGGCAGCTGTCGGCAAAAAAACGCCCACGACCTCACTACCCCCGCCCCGGCGGCTATATTTGGTATGGTCTTTGATGGGCCTCGCCAGAAAAGTACCAACAAGAGGAAATATTGAGCCGGCGTCTACTTTGGATCTATCAATCTGTTCGGACGTCATCAAAAAGATAAGTTTAGATTGGCTAGCAGCAGGCCAAACAACCTGCGGCCATACTTGCTCTTGCAAAACGCAGCTGCAACGGAGTGACATCGGCTACGGTGTGGATGTCCGTGAGTATGGTGCCCCACACAACATAGAACGCACGCGGCGCATGAGAAGCGCCCTGCCGTTTATGGGCATGAGCACGCCCGCCCAGAAGCGCGCTGCGTGCGAGAGGCGTCCAGGAGCGGGGCCCGGGAGAGCTGGCGTGCCCACGAAGCCACGAAGGGGGGGGACCGTTGTGGTGAGGCGCTCTCTCTGTCTTGCTCTTGGTCCCTCTCGTTCCTCATTTTGCAGAACAACTAGCAGGCGGCAGGCCCCGCGTTCGGTGGCTGGGGGCGCGGTCTTTTCAAAAACGAAGGGGCCCGGGAAAGGCCAAGGACGAGGCGCCACGAAAGACGTCGTGCGCCGCGCAAGAGTTGTCCTGAGCCCTGTGGGGGTCCCTGCGGCGCGCGGGCTTTTCCACTACCGTCCGCACGGCTTTCTGCCTGCCACGGCGCCCTTCGTCACCACATTTATATGCAGCAGCGCGCGCAGCGGCAGCTCTGCTCTTGCCATTCGCTGTTGTCGAAATTTTTCGGCCTGGCTGTGGCTTGCAGGTCAGGGCTCTTTTGGGATGGCTTCGTTGCTATGTTTCTGCAGGGGACCAGCAAAAGAAAGCACATGCAACACCTTCGTGCGTTCTCGGAGAAGTTCAAAGAATGGCCGCCTTCGTAGATTGTGGGTGCTCGCAGAAGGCATGTCGAGCGCAGTGGCCAGAGGCGTGTTGCTACAACCATAGCGCGCCCGTCCGGTCGCTTCCAGTACGTAAGTAGCCCAACTTTCATCCGTAGGATGTAGTGAGGTCACCGAACGGCCCTAGCCAGGGAGTTTTCTTGACAATACGACAGACACAGAAAGCCTGCCGATAGTTTGCAACTCTGTTCTTCATCTTTCTACTTGAAAAAGAAAAAGAGCGAAGCGCGCCAGCCTGTTAGGCTATGTCGGCAACGAATCTTGGCCAGGCCCGATCGCTCGCCGATTGATAAAACGATGATGGCGAGCCAGCAAAAGCGGCGCCCTTCTGAGGCCCCGCCCGCGCGTTGTTCTTGTAGGCGAAAACAAAACGAATCGGCAGAGCACACGACTTCCCGGCAAAGTAGAGATGTTGATCTTGTCCAGTTTGGCTCAGTTCGTATCTAGCTAATTGGGCTAATAATACATCCTGTTTTGGAGATTCGGAGAAGCTCTCCATCGGTGAGTTTTTGAGTTTACCTAAAACCTTACTGCTTCTGGTTCGCTCTAGAATTCTCATCATTTCTCTCCTACCGACGTGAGTAGCGTTGTTCGCTACTGCCGATCCGTGGTTGTGCGTACAGTTCTTGCGATTTGTTGGGGCGCCCCCCAAAAAAAACGCGCCCAAAACCAGACCAGCCAAACCGAATGGCGCGGCCGCGATTTTGGAGCATTTTGGGCGATCGCGGAAGCGGCCGCCTTTTATTTTGCCGGCGGCGGCTCCTCGGAGGCGCCTGAACAAGTGCAGCGGCCGCGAAAAACGAAAATGTATGGAACGCAAAAAAGAAAAAGCGCGCCAGGCCCGCGAAGCCAGTCCGCACGCTAAGGGCCCGACTTTTCTTCGCTTTTTGAGCGGCCCGCGCGGCTCCCGGACGGCCCCGCAGCAACAGGGTTGGCCCCCGGAGAGAGAGTGCGCAGACTTGCAAGAAATCTGCGATGTGTTTGAAGTGGCCGCCACTACGTGCGACGGGGCGTAATGCTATTTACGATCGCACGGCGAGCCCGCAAAAAGCATGCGCGCGGCTGGCCCGCGGCCAGGGCAAAGGCAAGAAAGGGCCACCGACCTCACTACCCCCTCCGCGGCGGCTATACTTGACACGCCGCTCGTCTAGATGCAACGAAGAGGCACCTCCACAACAGGCAACTCCGTCGCAGTGCATGCTTTCCGACGGAAATCCGCTCTCGGAGTTGCAGAAGCTACGCGTTCCAAGTTCCAACGTGAACCAGTACGACAAGGATCTGGGCATCGAGGACTGCTACAATGCCTGCTTCGAGAATGACGAGTGCTATCATATGGAAAATTATAACCGGCAGGGCAAATAATCTGTAATGGTAATGCCAAAGTATAAGAATGAAACCAACAGAAAAATTATCTTTCGTGCGCGCGCCCATATGCTATTCAAAACGTGTAAGAGAGATTTGTTCATTTTTTTATTACAGATATATAAGATATGACCTACTCCGGCTTTTTATTTTTTCTGTGGGATAATTGCCTGGCAATGTCGATTACGCTTCCAGACGGCAAGGGTGCCACCGCAGTTGACTGCACTCTGGCTCTCATATCTATGGCTTTGTCAAAACGTTACAGGCCCAGCTGCGTCGATCTGTTTTTCTGCTTGTTTGCGAGTCACAAACAAGAATGCCGTGACCGCAACGCGCTATGCCTATTTTACGACTCTTGCCTTACTTAGACTTACGTATGGGTATGTTTCACATGGGAATGGAACGGATTTCATATCCATTTATGTTACTGCGCAGCGGCGTTTATGGTCATGTAATGTTTCTGCGGATGAAGGTGATACCATAGAGAAGTGGAAGTCGCGCTTCTTAGTACTTTTATTTTTTGCATGGTGCTTCTATTTCGATAACAAAAAGAAAAACGAATGCATTATGCACACTGCAACAGCTGCGAATGCCATAATTGCGCCTCCCCTTACCGTCGAGGTGTCCGGCACCGGAGAAAACCCAGGGTTGGCAGAGTATCAAACCGAAAAGCGCCACTCCCGCACCAGAATAGCGCAATGTTTGCATTGCGGTACTAGCCTCCACCACCCGCGCGAATACCAAGAGGAATTTTGTCTGCGGCTGAAAAATTCAAAAATTTGCTTTTGCGACGGCGCGCGGCCACCTTCATTTCTGCTACATCACCTGCAGGGCCACCCCTGCTTTTAGTGGATGACCAATTAGGGGAGGCATTGAAACATCAGCGCCAAATCGCAATACGGGGCGCAATACCCCCGGGAAGCGTGCCACCTTTTGGCGCTGGTGGACATGCAAACAAGGCCAACCAGAAAGGAGCTGCGTAAATTCGTCTGCGGCTAGGGGAGGGGGGGCCCAAGGAGAGCACCCCTGCCGGAGGTGCAGACAAATTTGCGCAAGGCCATTACCAAGTGCGTTTGGGCCTTTGCGTAAATTTGTCTGCGCCCTCACCCTCAGGCCCCTCCGGGGGTCCCCTCTCGCGCCGGCCGGTTCCCCCGGACTGCCCCAACTGGGACAGCCGAAGAATGGGGAGCCGGGCCTACAAGGGCAGGAAAGTAGAGACGCGAGATGCGGACGATGGCCAGCTACCATGGGCGAAATTCTTTCCGGTGGAGGCGTCCCTGCTCAGCCCCCCTGCGACCTTCGAGACCGCCGGGACTGGGACGGCCCAGACTCCTTTGGTGCCATACTCAAAATCAAAATTTTTGAATTTTTTAGCCGCAGACAAAATTCACGTTGGTAGCGAATCTTATTGAGCTACGAACCAAAGAAATTAAAACAAGTCGAAATATGACAGGGAAGCCCGCCCGCAGCTCGCAACTGCTGCCTCTCTTGTGCTTAAGCAAGCGCAGCGGCCCGCGCGAAGAGTTGAGCCCACTGCTTGGCGGACTTTCAGCGGCCCGCGACAAATCGGCCGGCCTGGCTATGGCCTCGCACGCGCGGGCCAACTGGCTAGCCGTCGCATGAGCCACGCCGGGCTAGCTTGGCCTCGCGCCCGCCCGGCTGGCTCGGGCCGGCACGGGCCTGGATGGCCGGGCTGCCTTTCGCCGCACGGCTTCGGCTTTGCTTGGCACCTGGCCGCGCGGGCCCGGCTTGTTTGGCGCTTCTCCGCTTCGTTCCTTTGGCGTCGCCTTGGCCGCACGAACGGCCCCGGCTGGCTACCTTTGGCGCCTGGCCGCCTTGACGCTTGGCCGCACGAACGCCCCGGGTGGCCCCGGCGTTTGGCGGCACGACCAGCCTCGGCCTTCCCCATGCTCCCCACCCGTTTTCCCCGTGCTTTTCGCTTTCCCCGTGCTTCCCGCTTTCCCCGTGCTCCCCGCTTTCCCCGTGCTTCCCGCTTTCGCCGTGCTTCCCGTTTTC